TGCACAGAACACTTAAAAACGGGGCTCAGCCCTTTTTTTTCAGCATGGTTAGCTAATCGCAGAGCCATGTAGAGAGAGTTGTGTCAAAGGAAGTCATGTGATTCACGTAGACTTCAGATATTTCAAGGAAGTTTTTGGCAGACAATTTGAACCCGTAAACACATGGAGACAGAACTGCAATTAATTAAAATTGCAGCCAAATGCATTGATTCACAATATTTATATAGCACACCAACATGTGTTAATAATATATCTGTCCGCAGAGCCACAGTTTCACGCCAGCAGTTTCACTCCAGCAGGTTCAAGCTAGTGGCATACAGTTTGGTTTTTCTTAGCGAGTTTTAGGCTAATTGACATTTCAGTCGTTTTATGTGTTCCCAACAAATATGTGATGAATTTGCATTGGGCTAACATTATATTTTAGCTTTAGGCTAAAACAAACTTTGGTTTAAATGCATATAGACATTCACAGGGTAAATATTAAACAAACTATGGCTGATGTGGCCTGGGTAAACTAATGGGTTGTGTAGTGTCGTGGCTAAAACGGCTTCTAGTTCAAAAATAAACTTCAGTTAATACAAAACAGAAAACAGTTAAACACCAAGAAGAGAAAGTGAAATCTTTTGTTAAAGATTAAGGTCTCACAATGGAGGCGTTAACCTGAGTTGTCTGGGGCCGCAACTGACCAACCCACAAAAAGTCACACTTTTTATACTTCTTCTGCCTCCCCATTATGTCATCTCTTTCCTGATTTGCCACCATTATCTTTGAGAAAATTCCCACCAATGTTTCCAAACCCAAAAGTAACATATTTGTTTTTAATAGCTGCAGGCCAAGCAAGCCAAGCAGGCCAAGGCCACTATCAGGCCTTGACCTTACCACTTACTCTCTCTGTGTATGTGTTCTCCCCCTTAGAGACATCTTAATACTGATAATATGGAATAAGCAGATATCTTTAATACTGATAAAGAAAAGCAGGTGTCGTTAATACTGATAAAGGATAAGCAGGTGTCTTTAATACTGATAAAGATAAGCAGGTGTCGTTAATACCGATAAAAGATAAGCAGGTGTCATTAATACCGATAAAGGATAAGCAGGTGTCATTAATACCGATAAAAGATAAGCAGGTGTCATTAATACCGATAAAGGATAAGCAGGTGTCATTAATACCGATAAAGGATAAGCAGGTGTCATTAATACCGATAAAAGATAAGCAGGTGTCATTAATACCGATAAAGGATAAGCAGGTGTCGTTAATACCGATAAAGGATAAGCAGGTGTCATTAATACCGATAAAGGATAAGCAGGTGTCATTAATACCGATAAAAGATAAGCAGGTGTCATTAATACCGATAAAGGATAAGCAGGTGTCATTAATACCGATAAAGGATAAGCAGGTGTCATTAATACCGATAAAAGATAAGCAGGTGTCATTAATACCGATAAAGGATAAGCAGGTGTCATTAATAGTGATAAAGGATAAGCAGGTGTCATTAATACCGTTAAAGGATAAGCAGGTGTCATTAATACCGATAAAGGATAAGCAGGTGTCATTAATACCGTTAAAGGATAAGCAGGTGTCATTAATACCGATAAAGGATAAGCAGGTGTCATTAATACTAATAAAGGATAAGCAGGTGTCATTAATAGTGATAAAGGATAAGCAGGTGTCATTAATACCTTTAGTTTAACTAATATTTAACTCCCATCCCACCCTGCAAAAAAAGCACGTTCAGAAGCCTTTTTCTATAATTTAACAACGGTAAATGAAATGACATTATAAGGAGGGAATTTACAATTAATAGGCTGTTTATGGTTGTTATGTGCTGCTAACTTCAGTATTCTAGGGTAATGTGTTGTCTGTTAATGCTCTTTAAATCTATTAATTTAGTGGGGGACAATCCACTAACATGCTTAAATATACATGTTAATTTGATTCAGATGTGCTGATTATATAAAAAATGATTCTTTAAATATCCTGTCTCTCAAAAGTTCATCACAAACGGTCTATTCTGCTGCAATTCGGCTGCGCTGCTATTATTTGCTGCTAACTTTCGGGAACTATTGAGGGGCACCGCAATTCACCATTTCTGAAAAAATGGTCCATTGGAGAAAATCGAGATGATGCAACTCTCTCAGTGTGTCCCAATCATGGGCTGCATCCTTCGAAGGATGCGTCTTCGAAGGGGTGCCCTTCAAAGGCTGCGTAGAGGCTAAACTGAAATGAGACGGTCTGCTCTACGGCAGATTTCTTGTTTGCGTCACAGCAGCGCTGCTCCCGCTCTTACAGCTGCATCACGAAACGCTGCTATTGTCAAGTTCTTTTAGCAGAGCTGGAGATGCTTCACCACCAATGCCTGCACCAGCACGTGAAGTATTTTAGACTGATGAGATTAGCTTTTTTAAACATCTGTATTTTTAGCTAGCAAACCCTCGCTGGCATGCAATGACCCTCGGGATATGTTGGCTGGTGAAGGATCCACCCGATGGATCCTTCGTTGCTATGGAAAAGAATTTCCCGGCCACATTTTTCGTCCACATATGAAGGAGCCTTTGAAATGGGACAGCCTAGTCACGCCACTCTGACGCAAACAGCCTTCAAATGCAGCGTCCGACGGATACAGCCCCTGAATTGGGACACAGTTTCTCTCTACATGCCTCTGGCTCTGGCTAATCATACTCAGAGCCACAGAACCGTTCAGTGGGATGATGTAGCTATTTGCTGATTGGCATCCTGCTGCAAATAAATGAAAGCAGTGCAAGATTTAAACCTACCATTCAATAAATGTCAAAGCTTCAATCTAACACCAAATTCTAAATTTTCAATGGTGCTGATAACCAGGAGAGAGTAACCGGTAAGCGTTAGCTTAGCGAACATGCTGCCAGCTCTGCTCACTACAGAACAGGTTCGATTCTGACTAACAAAAGGTTACTGACAGAAACTCACAAAGCCGAAATTGAACCGTTTCTGGAGCTGGAGCCTCCTAGCCAAGCTAATGCTAGCCGGCTCCTCTGTCCTTAACTTAGCATAGCTGAAGAAATCCAAACACCCCAGTGCAGGTCCTGGTGCTCTGCTATCACAAGTATAGTTGATAAAAACTTACAACAGCGAGAGCAAACTCTGCTGATTGATGGTGGAGTGACAGAAAGCCAAAATATTGAAATAATAATATATACTGAAATAAAAACCGGAGTTCGTGTCCCTATATAGTGGGGGCGTGACGTCACCGCGATGACGTCATAATCGGCGCGTAATATAGTCACTGAATTGTGTTTTGGATTGATTCAGGTCAGGAGTAGACGATGCAGGACTCCAGGTTCTCTGGAGTCGACTCTGACTCTCGACTCCTGCTGTTGAATCAATGGAGTCGACTCTTCGAATCCACTTTAAGGAGTCCGTGATAAACGGATACAGCAGATATTAGACAATCACAAATGTAGTTCACCCATTTTTGTGTGTAGCTACAGATAATATAGTACATTTGTAGATTCCAAGTAAAATCAGGCAGCCTGACAAATTATTACAGAAGATTATTAATGTTTCAACACATTTTACCATCAGGATTCAGATCATTTCACATGATGAGGCAGCTGAAGGATGAAACTCAGAATGATGCTCTGAGAAAATCATTTCTGTAGTCATATAGTTCATTCTATGAAAATAAACCATTATTTGCCAGATTTAAAGTGAGGTTTTCATCATGGAGCAGCTGAATGTTATTGTTCCTCTGTTATTGGCTGAATTCGGCTTATTCGCCACTTTCTTGTTCTAATTTTCTGTTGAATGAAGATCCGTTAGGGAGCCAAAAGAGTCGACTCTTTCTGGTGAGCTGAGCTGATTGATCTGACTCACTGAAAAGAGCCGCAGTGCCCCTCTCTCACTGCCAGACATGCTGGAGTCAAAGAATCGACTCTTTTCGAAGCGACTCTTTATGGCTACCAAGAGCACGATTTCACACTTTAAAACTAAAGTTTCATATTTGAAATGAGATGATAATAAATGTAATACGGGGATTTAAAGTAACCAAAGCTTTTATAGACCAAATCAGAATGTTTGTAAGTATAATGGTTGGCTATTTTACGCTAATGATAAACATAACAGACGTTGGCACTGTAATATCTTGTTGTGTTTGAGTCTGTAATATCAAATGTACCCAAGAACGTAATGGATTTTACTCCCCATTTCCAGCTTCCTAAAGCAGGTAGAGCTGTATTAGTATTAATCCCGCTGAGGGGTCCTCTGTGTTTGCTAACACTAGCAGCTAAAGCTAACGACACTTTAGCAAATCCTTTACTCTTCCAGATGAAGATGTAGTTACCAAACACCATTACACCACCAGTAAGTACAAACCAGGACAGTGTGCTGATGTGTTTATCTGTTTTTTTAGAATTATTGCTTTATGTTTGTTTGTAAGGTGACAACAAGCAAAAAAAGATGCTTCTTCAAGGGTTCTTTAGTCAAATGAATGGACCAATTTAGAACCATGAGTTCTATATAGAACCATTTGCATCCTTTTTGAAAATGGTACTGTGTCGCACCAAAAGGTGTTCTTCTATTGTGACAAGCTTGACATTGTAACAGTAGCAGAACCCTTTTTGGTGCTATATAGAACCTCATACAGCACATTCTCCATCAATCTGAAGAACCATTTCACCATGCAGAGAACTGTTTATACTTGTGAATGGTTCTGTATAGAACCCATGATTGTAAATAGAACCATTCCCTTCACCGAAGAACCTTTGAAAAACCGTCTGTTTTACATGTGTAGCTAGGCCACGTGGGGGTTTGTGAACAGCATCCATGAGGAGGCAGCCTAAACAGAGTCTGAGTGTGTGGCCTTAAAAGGGGAACTCCACCAATTTCTCAAGATTTCTGAATAATTCAAGTAAGATGTAAACAGAGTCATTCGGAGTGGTTTGATGTGAAATGCATTACAGTCAAATTTACAGACTCTGATTTCATTACAGTGGTGCTGATAGGAACCAGGGGTCACAATGTGTACAACACAAATATAGCCATTTTACTTACTATCCAAACAGAAAAGCATTCTTGCTTTAATGTGCCATACATTTGCAAGCGTTTATGAAACATTATCTGTAAGCCAGTATAGATGTACAGCATTTTAAACTCCTAACTGAAAGTTGGGATTAAGTTGGACTTTTATTAGACTGTACTTTACATGTGCATCTTCAGTCTACCATTAATGGTTATAGTTATATTTTGCAGCAGGACTAAAACACTTCTGCTTTTGAATGTAAATCACTGTGCACTTCACCACTGCTGTGTGCTGCAGCTCTGAGTGCTGGTTAGATTCATTATCTCCACTGACAAGCCACTTCAAATCAATTCAGAATCACTGAAATCCGCCTTCATTTTCTGTTTTTTTTTTTTTATCACTTTCCGACGGCGCCGTGAGAGCATGGACTATTCCTGTCGTTCCTTTTAAACACTTTATATGTGCATGTCTCATAATTGTACTCCACAATGCAATCTTCAGTAAAATGCACAGATGACGGCAATCTGTAAAAGAAAGAAATAAAATAATATCAAAGAACAGAACATCCAAAGAAGGTCAAGTAAAAGTAACACTTTTCATCAGGAGCATCTGCTCTGGAACATCTTCAGAACAAGGTGAAGTAGATACAAAAGTGCAGAACGTCTAAAATGGTGGCTGAGAATGTGTTAATCTGCTTCTTTTCATTGTTTACAGTGTTTTCTATGCAGCAATGTAGCCTATGATTTAAACGCACTCTTATAGTTTAAGCTGTAAAACTGGCCATTTTTAATTTCATTTTATTTTTTATCAAAAACCTATTTATTTAATTTTACCAAGGACATTTCTATACATATTAATACATATAATACATAATACATATAAGACATATTAATGTACCAGAACAGTTAACACAGCATATCACAAAAGAATGAGTGCTATGTATTATTAAGGGCATTATTAATATACCAGTGCAAATAATACAGTATGTCACAAACAAACAAAAAAGAATAAGTGCTATAAATACAGTAAAGCTTGGCATTTAATTGGCATTAATTGACAAATTTTCTTGAATTAATATAAACTTTTTGATAGTATATTTATTGGAATTTACATTTTACATATTCAAAGGGGTACATACTCAACTTTTAGCTTAATAAAAACATCAGTTTTTATGTTTATCAAATTATCCAAATTCAATAACCATTACAGTTTCTTCATTCTCAAAATAAGTGGATGATAGATTCTCCAGAGTTTTTACAAAATGAGCAATGAATGTTATTTTTCTTTCAACGTTCACCTACTAAATGCACCATATGGCTTCCACAACTGACCAATCAACATCGAGGATGCCTCTAGTCACTCCTCCAACACAGGGGCGCTAGTTTTGACTGTTTTCAAACACAACAAATTGTATCTTCGCATTTTCTCATTAGGTGTTATTCAAGAACTACTATCTATGCTTTATATGGGGCTGAGCGTGTGAGCGCGGGGTGGAAAGTTGTTCCGTGGAAGCCAATGATGCGGCAGAAATTTTAGGGTTGCATCTGGGACCAATCAGATTCCAGGGGGGCACTGGCTACTCTGACCACCCCGTTAGAACTGTGCATGCATCTGAGTTGGTTATTAGCTAGGTTCTGATTGGCTAATTTCCCAGTTACTCCCCTCATGAATCCATCAAACTCTACTGCACTGGTGCAAAGCTGCTGCAACAACTTAAAAAATAGCTGTATGCTGTTTTGATTATGGGGCTGCTCTGAACAATAGCAAGAATAGAAAGAATGTGGTGCTGTTTCTAGCTAGAAACCATTAGCATGCCATGCGCAGCAAGCATGAAGAGACACTAAGCATATATTTGTGCTTCACGTGTTCTGCAGGCTGGTGTAATTAAAAAAAAAAGGTTCTATACAGCACCCAAAAGGGTTCTTTTGTTAGAAGCTTGATATCGTAACAATGGCAGAATGCTTTCTGATGCTATACAGAGCAATTTTTAAAAAAGTTCTATATAGAACCATATACAACACATCCTCCATCAATCTGAAGAACTATTTTACCATGCAAAGAACCCTTTAAGTTTCAAATGGTTCTATATAACTCCTTCTAAACACAACCATTCCTTTAACTAAACAACCCTTGAAGACCCATTTTTAAAAAAAAAAAGTAGTACAAATTTGTTTTAAATAACATTGAGTTTGATCAGCTTTTCTACAGACTTTTAGAAAGTTTAAAGTACCCATACAATGCAAAAGTGAATTTTGCTAACTTTTTGGAAATGAGATTTTGAAGTAGTACATAAACACTGCTAAAATTTCAGAACACTCCGTTCACTCCTCAGTTTATACAGTCCCTATTTAGAAACTAAGCAGCAAAAATTGCAAATTGTTTCTGTGATGTCACACATTTACATATAACCGCCTATTCAGCCTATAGCATTTTAGCCTATTCACAGTGAAGGTTTGGCCTGCTTTTTGAATGAGGCACAACAGAGGGCGACCAATCAGATTAGAGATCATTTACATATCAGTCTTAAAGGCAGAGTAACAAAACTTTGTTTAATTATACGGGATAAAGAGAGATAGAAAGATGCTTTTTTGGTATATAAAACAACACAAACATTTCAAGAGGACCGCAAAGGTAAAAATAACATGCACAAAACATGTAGAACATGGGTCCTTTAGGATCATTTAGGATAAGGAACGGATGTACATATCATTCTTTTTGGAACAAAATCTCATATCTCCAAAAAAGCACTTTAACAAGAGAAGAAAAAACTTTCAATGTAAGTTGATGCAGCCAGACTTTATTCTAAGTCAATCTGGACCATTTCTACTGGTCTGGTCATCCTGGATTTTTGTCACAATGTAAATGGCAGCTTACATTTTTCAACTATGTTAAAAAAAGGCAAAACAACAAAAATGGGGATCAATGGTTTTGTTCCGACTGCAACAACAATTTAGACAGACATAAACAGCTTTGGTTTACTTACCCATCACAGCAGCTCATTGCAGAAGCACTGCAGGTACACTGAACACATTTGCCGTTGGTCCAGGAGGATCCCACAGGGTGCCAGGTCTTATCCATGATGTCCTGACAATGAGTCGCACCTATAAAAGGTCAAAAGTTAGTAACACATCACAATATAAACCAACATGAGCATAACATGACTCAACTCTTGGCAAATGGATACCTCTTTTCAGCATCGTCATTGAGCAGGCGGCATCATTCAGAGGAATGAGAGCAAACAGCACCAACCCCACGAACACTGACCTCTTCAGCACAGACTTTGGAACAAAGAGCAAGTAAACAAATGGAGTAAACAAACACCTCCGCACTCTGTCTGGAGAATTTTTGTGTTTTAATGAACTGCAGTGTTCTACTATTTTTATTGATACAACCAGCAAGATTTCCTTTTCAATGTAAGAAAAGTCCAGTTTTATTAAATTTATATTATTTTCACTGACATAACTAGATTTCAAACTCCTGTTTTCTTTCTCCTGCTTCTGATTTCCCATCTTAGAATTAAGATTATCTTAACTGCTAGAGAGAGTATTCAGTGCTATGCTCACTCTACCATTTAAGTGTCTTCTTTGTGCTGAAATACTTTCAGGAATCCCAGCACGGGTCATTCCGAATAAGAATAACTGGCCTCCTAGACCAGCGGTTCCCAAAGCAGGGCCTATATTCATAAAGCTTTTCAGTATATCAGTGCTGACCTGGGATCAGATTCCTTACTTATTTATAATGCAGGAACATATCCTAGATCAGCACTCTGGGCTTACAGAAGCTTTATGTTAACAGGCTCTGGCCTGCTGCGCAGCACATTTTACCATTTTTCCTGAGAATGGGGTTGCTAACTGTCTGACAAGTTAGATCATGTGTGTTAGAGCAGGGAAGACAACAAAATATGTAGGTTAAGGGTTACATCACAACCAAGATTAGGAATCACTGTCCTAGACTGATTGTGAGGTCATTTCTGTGTATATTATTATATACATTATATACAGGTAATCAAAATGATCCTAAAGAAATCAACACTTTTGGTGTATTACATCTATGGGTGTTCCACAAGGTTAAATCCTAAGGCATCTTATTCAGTTTACTATTAACAATGTTGCTGTGACCACTGATTACTGATTGCTGTACAAGCAGCAAATCATTTGATGCCCTCTACAACCAAAAATTAGTTTGAAATGAAAAAAAAAATATATACACTGATTTTCAGAGCCTTCAACGTTGATTTAATAATCCAGTTATTTGATCATAGTATCAAAAGAGTCACTGAACTTCTAATCTTTAACCACCTTCACTGAGCCGACAACTGTTTTAGTTGATTTTAGTTTTTAGTTGATTTTTAGGATTTTTAAAAAGTAATTTACTATTATTACTTTTATTTTATTAATTTCCTTTTCTTATTCTCGTTTTATAATAGAGTTATCATTTTATTTGCTTATATTGATAATTGTTATTGTGTTTATTGTGGTTTAATTTTATGCATATGCTTTATATCATGTTTATTATTAAAGAATTATATTTACTCTTTTTGAGTCCTTTGTTTTTTTTGTACATTTCTCAGCTACACTTAAATTAAGGTCACCCTCAATGTACCCTGACTTTAAATGATTGATATTAATCACATTTAAATCTCATTTAAGCAGCACTAGTAAACAGAGAAATCATGTAAACTCACCATGGTTGCAGGCTCAACGTGGATCAATGTTCTGAGGTCTGTGACCACTACCCGAATGAAGTCACATTTTTGCTGCACTGCCCATAAGGCTGGCCTATGACAGTCTCATTCCAGCCCCTTTCCCTGTTGAGACATGTTGCCTCTATCTTATCATATATACGTCAATAACAGTGAGAGGGAGTGAAGTAAAAAACCTTCCGACAACAAGTTTGTATACATGCAGACTTATTTGTTTCTGCAGAATTCACAGTTAGACATACAGTAGACTGCTTCAGTGAGACACATACTGCTAGACCGCATATTTAACCATGCAGTCTTTGGAAACGTGCACAGATGGCAACCTGGGAAGTAATGAAGTGGTGGTGCTGGGGGGGCTGTATGAAATGGTGGTGCTGGGGGGGCTGTATGAAGTGGTGATGCTGGGGGGCTGTATGAAGTAGTGGTGCTGGGGGGGCTGTAGCATCTCCAGATTTCAGAATAGCTTAACTGCAACTGATAAAAACAATAATGGAAAAGCCAGAGGTGGGAAATTTGTGAACAAACTTTAAGTTGGCTTGACAAAGCTGTTGCTAGGAAATCCAAGGTGGTTACTACGATGCTGCTATGTTATCCTAGGCAGTTGCTAAGATGTTGCTAGGCCATTGCTATGGAATCCCAGGTGGTTACTAAGGTGCTACTGGGCCATTGCTATGGAATCCCAGGTGGTTACTAAGGTGCTACTGGGCCATTGCTATGGAATCCCAGGTGGATACTAAGGTGTTACTGGGCCATTGCTGTGGCATCCCAGGTGGTCGATAAGGTGAAGTGTTAGGTCATTGCTGTGTTGTCCCAGATAGTTGGAGGACTTGTTATGTACACTAGGTCTTTTAGCAGTCTTTAATGAAAAAATAGAAGGGATGACAGGAGTAAAATTTATCTTTACTAGGGGTGGATATTCTGACTAATTTTGATATTTGAGTATCCGTAGGAGTTCATTAACAGATATCTTGTTAACTGCAAGGAAGAAAAAAAAACAATGGCAAAAAATGTAAACTTTGGTCAAAAACAACGTAATGTAATATAATGGTAGTGCTTACCATTTTTGGCAACAACACTGGTGTTACACAAACGTATAGAAGCAGGCAGAGGAACGTCTTCAATTATCCAAAAACAGCTGAGGGTCACTGGTAAGTTTCTGCCTCTTCAGATAAGTTATTAAGCTAACAGCTAATCTGTGGATGCCGATGAGGATTTAATGTCCTATACAAAGTATTTTCCCCTCAGTGTACAACGCCAAAGTGTTATTTGTTGAAGAAAAGTATTTTCATTGTTTCTGGACCTAGCTAACATCAGTTACAGTAGCTAGCCTAGTTAGCGATACAGCTGCACTACCTCTGCCTTCTCAGTATATCCTTCACAACACTGTCCTCCAGATGATCAGGTTAGTGTGTGTCAAGCATTAAACATTCCTCCACCTTTTCACATCTCTTAACCTAATAATTCTGACTAATTTACTGCTAGTGCCGTTCTCACTGCAGGTTTGTTGTAAGGAGTCTTGTCAGTTTTTCCCCTTCTTGATGGAAGAAGTAGGTCAGTTGTTTGGTTGGTATACCCTGCCTGTGTCAGATTATTGAAAGACTCTAGAACAAGGGGGTCTAATCTTATCTGCAAGGGGCTGATGTGGCTGCCGGTTTTATTCCAAACAAGTAGGAGTCACCTGAATCACCTGATTCCACTTGTTTAATCAGTTGCTCTCAGTCTTCAAACAACTGATCATGTGTGCTCCTGCCTTGTTGGAATACAAACCTGCAATCACTCTGACTCTTATCATCAGATAAGATTAGACACTCCTGCTTTAGAATGTTCTCTCTGGTTCACTCTAATCAATTTGGTTTATATGTTCTTTTTCTGGATATTCTTAGAGGAACAATATGTAATACATTTACTCTACTAAATCATAAAATGACCATGATATGTCATCAGAGATTAAGAATACCTGGTAAGTTAAACATTGTGGAATGGAAAGTTTGTGTGTGTTTTGACCCATGATCCCACCCACTGCCCATTTCTCAGTACCATTTCAATACCCTGGGTTATGAAACACAATAGCAGGCAAACACAGCGTGCTGCAGCCATGGAAGCAACCAAATTTGATCTTGACCTAAAAAGCCTCTGCATTCTTCTAAAAAGCTCCATGACCAGAAACGCAGTAAAATGCGAGTAAATATTGCCGATGCATTCAAAAGATAGAGACAGCTTAGAGCCCTCAAGGAGTTTAAGATGCATGCCAAGATGGCTAATTTTCTCCTGAACAGGTGAGCACCAGGCTTCAGCTGAGGTTAGCTAACCTTACCTAATTTATCACGGCTACTAGCAGGGATGGACATTTTAAGTGATTTCAACATTCGACTACTCGCATTCATACTCTGTGGTCTGCATGCAGCTGGGTTACCAAGGCAGAAGAGGCTGAAGCTGACTTCCAATTGTGCCGGCTTGTTGTTCGAATTTTCCAGTTCCATCTTAAATGTGGAATGGGAAAATTTGAACAACAAGCCCACAAATAGCCTGAGGCGCCACAATGCAACTGCTGCACCATTTAAGGTGGAATGGGCAAATTCAAACAAGAAACCAGCAAATAGCCTGAGGTGCCAGAATACAACTGTGGCACCATCTAAGGTGGAACTGGCAGATTCAAATAAAAAAGCTGACTTCAGCCTCATTCCAGGCAGTGAGTATTTTTGAAGCAGTGGACTTTGGACAGTGGGCTCTGGGTTTAGCTTTGGCTACTGTATATACAGTGGAGGAAATAAGTATTTGATCCCCCACTGACTTTAAAAGTTTTAATACAAAAAAATAAATGAAACGTCTCATAATTTTATGCCAGCTTTATTTTAACAGTGACACATAGAATATCAAAAGAAAAACTGAGAAAATTACATGAAATGAGAAATAAAAATTAATTTGAATTTCATTGAAGGAAATAAGTATTTGACCCCCTAGTAAAACATCATTTAATACTTGGTGGCAAAACCCTTGTTGGCAAGCACAGCAGTCAGACGTTTCTTGTAGTTTTTTTATAACGTTTGCACTTCAGGAGTAATTTTGGCCCACTCCTCTCTGCAGATCATCTCCAAATCCTTAAGGTTTTTAGGCATGCATTTGGAAACGCGAAGCTTCAGCTCTCTCCATAGATCTTCTATGGGATTGAGGTCAGGAGACTGGCTAGGCCATTCCATGACCTTGATATGCTTCTTATGGAGCCACTCCTTTGTTTCCTTGGCTGTATGTTTTGGGTCGTTGTCGTGCTGGAAGACCCATCCACGACCCATTTTCAGTGCCCTGGCGGAGGCAAGGAGGTTGTCACCCAGGATTTTGCGATACAAGGCCCCGTTCATCTTCCCGTCGATGCGGTGAAGTTGGCCTGTGCCCTTAGAAGAAAAACACCCCCAAAACATAATACTTCCACCACCATGCTTGACGGTGGGGATGGTGTTTTTAGGGTCATACTCTGTATTTTTCTTCCTCCAAACACATCGAGTTGAGTTGAGGCCAAAGAGCTCAATTTTGGTCTCATCTGACCACAGCACTTTCTCCCAGTCTCTCTCGGAGTCATTAATATGTTCATTAGCAAACTTGAGGCGGGCCTGGATGTGAGCCTTCTTGAGCAGAGGAACCTGGCATGCACTGCAGGATTTTAAACGTCTCAGTGTATTACCAATGGTTTTTTTGGAGACTGTGGTCCCAGCTGCCTTGAGATCACTAACCATTAGTCTTTCTCATGATCAGTGAGACTCCACGAGGTGATATCTTGCATGGAGCTCCAGGCCGAGGTCGATTGACAGTAATGTTGTACTTCCACTTCCGAATAATTGCACCAACAGTTGTCACCTTCTCATCCAGCTTCTTACTTATGGCTTTGTAGCCCATTCCAGCCTTGTATAGGTCAAAAATCTTGTCCCTGACATCTTTAGACAGCTCTTTAGTCTTGCCCATGGTGGAGATGTTGGAGTGTCACTGAGTCTGTTGGCAGGTGGCCTTTTATACAGGTGACAATTTGGGACAGGTGTCTCTCATGCAGGTAACGACTTCACTGAGATTAGGGTGTGTCAGTGGTCTGTGGGATCCAACATTAGTCATGGTTTTTAAATACTTATTTCCCTCAATGAAATGCAAATTATTTTTTATTTAAATATTATTTAATTTTCTAGATTTTCTTTTTGATATTCCATCTCTCACTGTTAAAATGAAGCTACCATAAAAATCATAGACTGTTTAATTATTTGTCAGAGTACAAACTTTCAAAATCAGTGGGGGATCAAATACTTATTTCCTCCACTGTAGCTAGCCATGCATCTAGCCATCTAGCCAACATACAGAGTTATAAAAAATCCACATGAGCTGGTTTATAATTTGCAAACAATAAAAACATTGCAAATGTATACATTAGCTGATCAGCTTACAGTGTACGAATTGTCCTCGCTTGCCATTGTCAAAGTTTAACATTGCACTTGTTTGTGTAAGTTCAGTGTCCTCAACCTGACAACCCGCGTGAGCTTCGAGTCTTGGGAGGAGGGGGCGGGGGCAGACAACTGTCTCCAATAATTTGAATTTGGATTGCAGTACCCATTTTTGCTCTCAGTATTTCATATTTTTCCTTTAAGCAGGAGTCTCAAACTACCACATCTGGCCTATGACTTCAAAAACCATATTTACAACAACCTGAACTATTATAACAACCTAATTCTTCATCAGATTTAGTGCACTGCCTTTAACCAATCAGCAGTGCGATAAAATATTATCTCAGGGCACTGGAGAAAACGTCCTTCACTAATCAAGTGGCTGTTGCTGGACATAATCAAAGCTTCTGTCAAGTTTGGTAAACATGGCTAACATAATATAGCCTGCCAGCTGAGAGGTTTGTAGGGGGTCCCCTGGTGGCTACAGGGCCCTAAGCAGCTGCTTATGACAATCATTAGGTAGAAACAGCACAGGTGTTGGTAGCTCAAGAGGGAGCAATGCTTAGCAAGCACCTCACAGTTACAGTTACTGATTAAATTTTAATTTCTCTTTTAATTTCTCTTTCAATGTATTCATTGACATTTCAATATTACAAGTAAACTTGAGCTCATGTTGGGTGGGCAAATGATAAAACTGTGTGGGTTTGGGGCTGCTGAACCCAATCATACTGCCGGCATGTCCAAAATTCGTTTTAAAAGTAATTTTGTGGGTGACAATGTCCATGGGTGACCAATATTTGTTTTTAAAAGTTTGTCAGAAACTTGTTTCCAACCTGTCCATTTTGAGAGCTTTTTTCATGCATTATTTTACAATGTTTTTAACCTGTAACTTAGATCACTTACACAAAAGTGGATTTCCTTCTTGCACTTGCCAAAAGTATGATTGCATAAATAATTTAAAGTACTGGTATTGTGGATTTTGTGTTTCAACACTGATTGTCCAGATATGTCTAAAGTAAAGTATGGTGGTGGGAGTATTATGCTGTGGATTTCAGAGTTGAAAGTGATCTTTCTACAGTCTAAAGGATTGTTGCAGGAATGACAATACAAAGGAGCACAATGGAAATGGATTTTCTTTAATGTGCCACACATCTGCCATCATTATTAACATCCTGAAGAGTGTTGTACACTATCTTTAAGGCAGTTTAGCTATACAATATTTTCTCAGCTAGCTAGGAATAACTGAGTACCTAAAATTTACTATTTTCTATCAACTTTCATTATTAAGAATGCTTTGGTTACATTTTTCTGATATGTAGAATTACTGAATTCTGCTTTCTTTTCTGTTCTTTACACCAATTTCACCTTATTTCACTTTCCAATGCCCATGGTAGTGCATGTGCCGTCTTTCTTATAAAGCACATCAAATGTACAGGTGTCATAATCATACACCACAGTGCAGTCGCCGGAAACGTGCACCTTTAGCATTCTGGAAACAAAAGAAATACATAAAGAAATTCTTAATGAAGTTCAGAGAAAAACATAGTATAGAAAAAAAAACAAGTTTATCTGACTACTTGAGAACACCTCATGCATTTTGATGAACTGAAAATGAAAAGACTTTGGGCCTCTTTCACCAACATCTTCCTAGGTTTTTATAAATGTGTTCTTGAGAAAGACCCTGAGAAAAAAAGTCTACATCAGATTCATAACGTGTTCTTAAACCACAGAATTGTTCACACCTTTGTGCTCTTGAGTGTGTGTAGATTCTGTTCCTACCTAAGAACAAGTCCCAAATCAGAAAATGTTGCTGAATGTAAGAATCTTCATGAAAACTGGAAATATCTTAATGGCTGGTGAATGAGGCCCAATATATATATACACAGTCTATATATATTCTCATAACAATATATATATATATATATATATATATATATATATATATATATATATATATATATACATACACACACAGTCTATACTAGTTTTGTTGTTAAATATTTCTGTGTGAGGTGCTTTACTGTGTTGCTAGATTTCCTATATTTACCCATCACAGCATGCCATATCGGTAGTGGTACATTCACACTTTTCACATCTGCTGTTGGTCCAGGCAGATCCCACAGCGTGCCAGGTCCTATCCACACTATCCTGACAGTGAGTCCCGTCTATCAAGGGTCAAAAGGTCAACACACAGACATTTAAAACAATATGAACGACCTGGCGTAACTCCGTGTGTGTGTGTGTGTGTGTGTGTGTGTGTGTGTGTGTGTGTGTGTGTGTGTGTGTACCCTTTTTAAGAAACCCCGTCCAGCAGGCGGCATCATTCAGAGGAACGAGAGCAAACAGCACTAACTCCACAAACACTGACCTCCTCAACACGGACTTTGAACAAAAAGAAAGTAAACAAATGAATTTGACAAATACTTTTTCAGGCGTTTTTGTACAGATATATTTACTGTCTGAACAAACCTTGTTTCTCCAAAATGATAACATTTCAGGAAAAACATTCTCATTAAAACATGACATTTTTATAACAGTATAAACTTACCATGGTTGCATGTAGATGTTTAGGCTTTCCAAAATGATGAGAGACTGCTAGCAGATGCTTCATTTTAAATGGAGCAGAGGGGCGGGGCTACTGATGCTGATACATTGACAGGTGGGTACATTTTAAAAAAGCAATTTCTTTTATCCCAAAACTAAACAGTTTTAATATGTCCATTAACATCTCCTATTATCATATATGCCAAAAGGAGAGCTTAATTTCAAACATATTTTATAGTCGCTGGTGTTATATGAATATGGTGTAACACCAGTGACTGTGACTCCAGTGACTTTCTGGTTAAAACTGAGGATTTTGTGCATTGTGTAGCAAACACCGACATCTGGTTGAGCCAAAGTCACTCTTGTTTAGAAGAACTCCCCACATGACCCGAACTAAAAGCTTGGGCCCACAAAGTCTGAGGTAGAAGCCATAAAACAGGATTAAGTTGCCAACAAGTTTTACATCTTAAAAGGACGGTACCTTGGGAATCTGGACACTGTGGGCGGTTAGCAACCCCCCTTTGCTCCATAGGCATACCAGGCAGCTATAAATCCCTGCCTGGAATCCAGCTATAGGCCTCACCAAACGTACAAGAAATTGAGTTTCTAAAGTGTGCACCAATACAGAATTGCCACCATTCAATGGGGTACATTTCAAGAAGTCCGGAGACACCAAGAACGAGGTTGTTATGAGAATCTATAACAAAGTTAGCCTTTGTAGATTTTATTGACAATTTAGATATGTAGCCACAACACCCCCAAGTGGTGAGAATGAGGCACAACACACCACCACCATAAAATCTTTTTCTACTATTAAGTGCTAGAAATACATAGTGTATAACTTTGATAACAGACAGAGACAACCATTTCATTGTAATGAGTTTAGACCATTGACCAATATGTATCCTGAATGTGGTTTTCTTTTCTTTCTTTTGTTCCTTTTCTTTCATTGTTGATTTTATTTCTTCAGTCATTGGGTCATATTCAGATATTACAGGCAAACATTACCTGTGTTCTTTAACATGTGTTGTGTATCAGGTAACAAGGGTTAAACTCTCTCTTATAAACATACCTGAATATCCTAGTTGTTCATTCCTTGATTTTGAAAGTTAAACCAATTTGATGATGTAAGAAAGTTTCTTTTTCTTTGTTTAAATTAGCTGAAACAAAGAAGGCAGTGATTCTGGGGAAGGCATTCCTAAAATTATGCACAATTAATCAGAATTGGAAACACTGAATAACTAATTAACTGTTAGGTGAGGAGAACCTATCAGCACTCTGGCTCCACCTCCAAAGGGTAGCGCCAACAGCTGAGCAAAACCGGAGTGCACCGCAAATTTCGAGGAGTCCTGCGTTCTCAACAAGAAGATAGCTAATTTCTAAGTTTGTGCCGGCCTTGGTCAGGAAGACAGGTCGGAAGTATTAGAACACTAAAATTTCAGATCTGAAACCTTTGTTTGTTTTTGTAACTTGTCTGTTCATCAACAGACTTTAAGTTTAAACCACCCTCAGAGAAGGAAGGTGGATATTTCTTGTCTGGCCAGGGAGAAGATCCACAACCTTCGATTCTGCTAAAGAGAGGTAATTAGTGGCGGCAGCGGAGTGGGAGCAGTTCTGACGCCACGGAGACCCGGCATCACACCCAGAGCCACGCACTAACCTGTGAGCAGAATGACCATTGAAAGGCTGCCCAAGCTCCACCCTAAAACGGCCACGAGACGCCTCCGCCTAATCACTGACGGAAAGGCGCGTGCCCGCATGGAGATGCAGCGTCCACGACCAGCGAGGAGATGAACCAACGCGTGAGCTCCAGCCTTCAATCGAGCCAATCCTGAGACGAACCCTCCTGAAGTCAGCCCTCGACTCCAACGTAAGCTGGTTCCATCAATTTGCAGTCAGGGCCCTGACGCCAATTTATTTAATAAGAGAACTTTTAATAGGTACATCCAGCCATATAGTTATTCCCGTCCATGCTTAGATTAATCCTTTCATGTCTAAGTTTCGAGCGACTTCCCAAGAACCACACTGCCTTATACTATTTAACTGTGAATCACTTTACTCAAGCTATTTTGTCCTTTTGACTCTTATTATTATTTTTTTGTTTTGTTTTTGTTTTATTTTCTGTTGTTTATCATTGAATGTAGTCCAAAAGTAGTTTGATATTTAGCCAATAAATTCCCTTTTATTGAAGCATGCTTAGTGCAAATGTTTCTCTCTCTTGCCCTGGTCTGTAGACTTCAAATAAATCTGGGTTACCCCACACCCTTATCTAAGGTTCTAGCAATAATAACATTAAAATTGCAAAACCCATTACAATTGGCTGACTCATTGGTGGTCAGGTGACCTTGCACAACTATTTAAAATCAGTTATAAAAATGATACACGCCATTATTTTTGAAAAAGTTTTAATTACACAGCCATTAAAGCACATAGCACCAATGACACATAGACGTTATGTGCTGCCTGATAAACAGAATTATTCATAAATGAATGAAATATAGTGAGCAAGTGTGGATTCGCCTTCTCACGCTTCCTCTCTGATGAGCCTTGACCCAAATAAGCAGTTTAATAGAGCTGAAAATACAAGTGACAAATATTTGGGAATCTGGATAGACTACAGCAGCACACGCCATGGGTACCTCAGAGAAGAGATATAAAACTGTCCATCTCAGCTTCAGTCATGGATCATTCTCATATACCTCAGTGGATCTTCGGTCTCCATCAGAGAAGCTCTTTATTTTGTCTTGATAGTTCTCTCACATTAATTAGAGTTAACTGTAACTGCAGTGTCACTTTCTATGCAGAGAATATTTTCTCCATTAAGAAGCACACACCACACACACACACACACAGACACACACAGACACACACACACACACAGACACACACAGACACACACACACAGACACACACACACACAGACACACACACACAGACACACACACACACAGACACACACACACACACACACATAAAACCACTTATCCTTCTGGGTCACAGGGGCTGCTGGGTTGCTAATTGTTCAGAGTTCAGGAAACACCCTGGACAGGACGCCAGTCCATTATAGGACAGACACATAGACATACACAGTCTCACACACACACACACACACACACACACACACACACACACACACACTCACACCGAGGGCCAATGTAGCATCTCTAATTCACCTGACTGCATGTCTTTGGACTGTGGGAGGAAACCAGAGCACCCAGAAGAAAACCCATGCAGACACGGGGAGAACATGCAAGGACAGGGACCCTGGTCGCCAAGCTGGAGAACTAGCTACCCGATGTGCCACTGTGCTGTTTCCATTAAGATGCATAAAGACCCAAACAGATGATGTTCTGACAATCCATATGGTCACCAGGAGTCAGAACTGACTTGATGACACTTAAAGGGGAATTCCACCAATTTCTCAAAATTTCTGCATTGTTAAATGGTTAAGACGTAAACAAAATGTATTATTTCAAATCCAATCATGGGGAAGGGATACATGCAGGGTGCTGTATGACAAAACAGTACCTAAAGAAAACTTTCAGATTTATTTTTGTGTATTTATTTTACCATCATCAAGATTACGTATGAAACTGAGAGACTCAAAAACACGTGTAGCTTCACTGGTGGTTTTAGATAGTAAACAAAATGGCTATATTTGTGTTGTAGACACTGTAAAGAAAGTTATCAAGTTGAATTATGCTGCAAATGGGAAATCAGTAGAATTGCCCTTTAATAATAATAATAATAATAATAATAGCTAAATCAGTTTTTATAACAGGGTGGAAAGCAAAACTGAAGATATAGATAAAAGACTGAACCCAGACAGCACAACTTTAGCACTCCACTTCCAGTTTCCAATCACTCAAACGCCCTTCCACGCAGTAGTCAGCAGAGGCCAGCCAACAGACAAACAGCGTCCCTTCAGCAATGTTTTATGTGCTCTACATGTCACCAATAATTCTGGCCAAAAAGCTTCATTTCTTCTGTTTCCTCTGACCACAAAGTATTTTTTCATATCTTAACTGGGTCACTCTCGTGCTTTCTGGCAAACTGTTCGTGAGTCTCAGCTTCTTTCCTGCCACTCTCAGGCCAGAGCTCTTTATATGGTGGATGCACCTTCATTTTAAATCAATGTATTCTGTAGCTTCTATAGGACTCCCTCATAAATCTGAGTCTTGCTCAGATGCTTTTCTAGTGTCTGAATAGTGTACTAAGGTGCCTGAGGTTGTATTTAGAATAGCACTGCTGGCAACAGGTGGAATTCATCTTGTAGTTTTCAGCAAAGCCACAAAATGCTCGTGAGATGGATCCAGCATCTTCCGGAGCAGGGCTGGACTGGGAACTAAATTCAGCCCTGGACTTCTGTCTATACTAGCCCACTACAACCACAGTGATCCCTCCCACCCACAGACTTCCTTCACAAAGCTACATCTTCCTTAGACTCTGAATTTTGAAGTTTAAGCCTTTTACTAGTCTCTGAACAGTATGATAGGGTAAAAAGCACTGTTAAGATGAAGAATATGTAATTCAAGCCACAACATATTTGTCAGCTGGGTCCAGCATCCTCAGGAGAAATGAAGGGCATAGTCTCTCTTTTCTGACTTTTCAGAAATCTAGAGAGGTATTTCACATATAACAAACATCTTCAGTTCTGAAGTGAAGCATGGTGATGGGAGTATTATACTGTGGGCTTCAGAGTCTAATGTACCTCCCATCTGACCATTCTGACATAATATACCTAAAAGTTTTTGGCTTGGCCATTAAACCACTTTATTCTTTCTTGATTACTCTCTCACATTAGTTTTAAGCCGAAGTTAAAAGTGGCCTTTCTATCACTCCTTACGAAAAAAGAAATAGCACAGTATGGTATTGATTTACAGGATATTTTTGCAATTACAATGTGATGCATAGATTATACTTCACAGGACTGGATTGCTGTAGGAAATAAAACACAATGGAGCAGAATGGAAATGGACTTTGCTTTAATGCGCTATAAATCTGCAATCATTAAAGTCTTCAAGATTGTAGAACATCATTCATCTTTAAGCCAATTTAGCTATACAGTCTTTTAAAGTCTTTAA